ATCGAATGGTGTATGAAGTGTCGAAAAATAAATTTCACTGCAAGGCTGCCCTGGGTGCATCTTACTTGCATGGAAAACTACTACTAAAAGTAAGTACAAGCATGTGGAAGGCTTCGCTTAAGATTAGGGATATTCGGTTCTCGGTTCCGATTAAGAACAAGAACCGCCGTTCTATTCCGTTCGATCTTCCGGAACCAAGAACCGGGATTCCGGCTCTGTACTTAGAACCGAACCGCAGTTCTCGCTTCTCAGCTTAGAACCGGAAAAGAATTTTTCAGGGATACTAAGCGGCATAACATCATTTCTTAGGATAGTAACCGGCAAATATACCATTTCGTAGCTTTGTCAATAGTGTTTTTATTTGAGTAAAAGAAAGGCTAGTACAGATGTTCACGTCTCCGTTCTCGAGTTAGGATCCGATTTCAATTTTTCTTTCTTACAAACATTTTTCAAAAACTTAAAAACTACTTTTTCTCACTTAGCTCGCTGCACTCTATTGCATGCATAAATCAATCAGAAACAAATTTCAATCAATTCGGCACCTTTTCTAATTTGACCTCATGGATACGTTCCAGCTGCAGTAATCTCAAAACTCCTAGCTCTTTTAGTCTATAAAATCATCTATCTAATTTTCTTTTGTGAAGAGTTGAAGCCGATGTTTTTGCTTCATTAGAACCACCATTAAACGGGCTTTGAAAGTATACATCATTTTGTTTCGTCACTGAGAAGTTTTCTTTGTATTTGAACACCTTACGAGGGAAGTACACCAACTGACAAATCGCTTTTTAACGAAACCGAGTGGACTATAGGTAGTCGACGATGCTGNTGCTGATTCCGAATATCACCATGAATGCTGCTGTTAGGCCTTCAAAGATCGATTTTCTGAAAAACCAGTTTTCGAGAAACTCTAAACAACAACCTAAAGCTTTCTTAATGAGGCGTAATTGTAGTCCATAAATTTCTGATTAAAACGAGGCATCTCCCAGCTCCACACGACCTTTGTTTGCAAAGTTATAGAGTTACAAGAAAAGCCCTAAATGTTCATTGTCACCTCAGAGTTACAGAAAGAAAAACGAAAATGAATTTAGGGCTGTCTTGTAAACTCTATAACTTTGCAAAGAAAGGTCGCGTAGAGCTGGGAGATGCCTCGTTTTAATCAGAAATTTATGGACTACAATTACTCCTCATTAAGAAAGCTTTTGGTTGTTGTTTAGAGTTTCTCGAAAACTGGTTTTTCAGAAAATCGATCTTTGAAGGCCTAACAGCAGCATTCATGGTGATATTCGGAATCAGCATCGTCGACTACCTATAGTCCACTCGGTTTCGTTGAAAAGCGATTTATCAGTTGGGGTACTTCCCTCGTAAGCCCAGTGAGAAATCGTTATCGACTGTACTTATAGATGTTAAGATTATCTTTCATGTTTCAAGTGTGTAAACTCTATGAATAGCATATATTTCTAACTATACATTATGCATTATGAAAATAAATTCGGTTTGGACTTAGTAGAGAGAATAATGGAAAATTCTATTTTTACGTGGGCCCTCTTAATCGATGGCTCATAGCACTGAAATAAGAGAACACATAGATCAACTAGATTACAATTGCGCTGTGCACAAGTTCCGATATCGGCCGGCTCTGTCTGTGACTGAATCTGTTGATCCAAGCAGATCCTATCAGTAGACTCTGAGGATTGGATTTTATTTACTCTTTAAACTGCTTATAAGATAAAAGAACAACGAAAGACATTGTGACTAAATGGTGCGGACATAAAATAACGGTAATAATCTATGTCCAACAGTCATTTTTGGGCCCCCTTATGGCTTATACCGTCGCGTTTGGATAAAATAAGTTTGAGTAAAGAACGTGCAATGGTCAATTTTCAGTTGCCGTAGAACACTGTCCCTTTTTCAAAACTTCTCTACGATGAGTAGTTTGCTGGATCATGGCGTTCTCTTTTCACAAAAAAAGTCGTAAAGAAAAAACAAAAAACAAAATTCACAGCATAAATGCTAAATGTCTGTAAATATAAAAATTTTAAATATATGACAGTGAAAATAAAACACATGATGTCACCGGAACAAATGGAGTGACGCTCTGGTACTACGTTGAGAAAAAAAATGAATTAGATCACGTCGAAATTTCGCGCCACAAAATGAATAAAGAAAAAAGTTAATTGAATAGGATGAGAACGAGAGGAGCTGTGTGACTAATACCGATAAATACAAATATTCAGCCGTTCTGACATCAAATGTTTGTTGTCCTTCAATACTATTGTTCGTATTGGCAAATTGTTTACTAGTAGTAAGTGTGTATACTTTAAGTTGTATTATACAAATATGAGATGGTGCATTTAGTAGAAGAAAACATGTTGAAGCAATGATTAACATTCGAGATATCCGACAAGAATTTGATAGTGAGAAGTTTTTTTGTGAAGGATATGTCGATTTTACTGGTGATTTGCTATCAATATCTTGCTCATCATGTCTGATAATATTCGATGACCGAAAAGGAGATCCATAGCGACCACTACGTAACATAATCAAGAATTGACATTTCGAATGTTCTAAGTCTGTTGTAACTTCGTCACGTATCTAAAAATAAAGAAAAAAGAAGAAAAAGCGTTGATAATAATCACAATGAATGATAATTACTGTTGTTTGCCGGAGTTTTCGAATAGGAACGTCCGTCTTCCTACATTGTTGCTCTGACGTTATTAATTTAACTGATCTAGAAATTCTACACAAATGTACACGTTCAGAATTGTCATCAACATGTTGTAATGTTGTTTGAGAATGTTTATGTTTTAAATATCGATAACGATGATGATGTCGAGTTATTTTTTTCGATTCTTTTTGTATTTGTTGAACGATAAGTAAATTGAACAATGCAATTAAAGCGAAAGGAAAAACAAATGACAATAGAGCATCGGATAGAAACCATTTCAAGTTTAATTCTTCGTTGCATTGATAATAGGAATTATAATGAACGAGTAATACACAGTAGACTAGACTAAAGCTAGTAGTTAATGTTAAAGCAATCGAATTTAATGATTTTCTATTATTTGTTGTTGTTTTCAATGGATATTTGACAGCAAAATAGCGTTGAATTGTAAAGTGAACAGTGTATGCAGCGGATAATAATTCAGCCAAATGTGAAAACATTGACAATAATTCACATATTCGTGTATTATTCCATTTTGACAAATCATTAATAGATCGGAATACCAAAGTTAGATTAAATATTAAATCACTAATTGCTAAATACATAAACAAGATGACTTAAGCTCGTATACAACCGTTTTGAGCACGATGCTGGTTAAAGTTAGACATTTTGTCATTCTTACGAGTGTCTACTTTCAATATACGATTGAAAAACCCCTATTCTAATGCACGAGAGAAACGACGAGTTATCAAAACTTTATTAAATTCCAAAAAAAACGTTTTTTTTAAATTTTATATCGCTACGCATCTTGATCAACTAACTTTGCTGACGAGGGAACCTTTCGAGATGTAACCTTCCGATTCCAATGATTTATACATGGATTGATAGACCTCAGTGAGGTAGTAAATACTCTAAAAGGATTCGTGCCCATGACTCTTGAAAACCAGTTTTTCAAGAAGTCTAAAAAATAATCAAAACCTTCTTTTAATGACGCATGATTGTAGACCGCAAATTTCTGATTAAAATGAGATATCTTCCAGCTCTACATGATCTTTCTTTGTAAAGTTGTAGAATTTACAAGAAAAGTCGTAATTCTTATTTTTTGTAGCTTTGAGCTGACAATCAACATTTAGGGCTGTTCTTGTAAATTTTACAACTCTGCAAACAAAGATCGTGTAGAGCTGGAAGATATCTCATTTTAATCAGAAATTTGCGGTCTACAATGCAAAAATAACGTAGTGTAATAACGTTTGCGGTCAAAATGCAAAATAATGTAATAAAATTGCACTTTGATAGCAAAGGTAGCTTGTCAAGCTGTATAGAAAGATCACTCGTATTAAAGCGACTATAACTTTAAAACGATCGAATATTTTCAAAGGTGGATTTCAGTATTATTTTTAGCACATTTTTTTCTGCAAAACCGAAACACTTTCTTTTTAAATTTTGTTACTATTTTTTCTTCAAAGAAATGTGAAACTATCCTAAATCGTAAAGAAATGATCACAAAACGACATTTTCAGACAGTGAGTTGTAATAATGAAAATCACCTAGAACATATGTCCTATTATCAGCTTATTCATAAAAAACATTTAATTCCAGTCATTGTAATCAAAACGTCTCTGAAGTGAAAGACATTTTGTAGAGTTAAAAGTTGTGTATCGTTTGATATACACAAATATCATTTATTCTAGCCGTACTTTTGAGAAGAGCTTGAATTTGTGCCTCATATTGATCCGAGGCGTCTCTTCTAATGTTTCGACTTTTATAATCAGATACAAACAAGTATATAAGAACAAACACACCACTAGATATATACGAAAAAATTCTCTACTTTTTATTACTAGGACTAAATTGAATCAGTTAAAAAGGTAGTTTTTGAAAATTTTCTGAGTTTGCGTTTGAACGATTTAACTTTTTGCTGTTTGTAGTACTTTTATTGCCAGAAAAAAAGGGCAATGTATCTTTTGAAAAGAGCGCAAGAATCGAAAAGATTTTTCATGATCACCATTATAATGGAAAAACTCTTTTTATATGGCTCAATTTTTACTCTTAAAATAAAAACGGTATCCAATAGGATAGCATAATATTTTAGCTATTTAACGAATCGATGTCACCTTTCTCTCGGATTCGGGGTTGAAACAGTAAATATAATAGAAAAAAATATAAGTAAAAGTAAACAATAAATATTTTGTTAATATTATAAGATGCACGCAATGCAAAGAAGTAGTGAATTTTATTTTTCGATGTATTATACATATTCTGATTCGTCAGGTTGAGCTGATCACAAATATCACCTTCTTGGTCTCCAAAAACCTTTTATTCCGGACCAAAATCCCAAAACCTCAGCTAGAAATTGAACTCTGGACTTCAGGTTAGAGACTACGTTTCTGGTTCATACATCATTCGATAGCCCAGACAACAAGCTACAAAGTTATGAAGAGCTATTTTTAAAATCATTTTTCTTCGATCAGAAAAACGGCTTTTACTAGGAAAAATCAAAATTCTGTCCCTAATTCGCAATTTCCTTCATCAGAACTCAACTTTCACGCAACGAAAACATCGTATTCGGAATCAGCATTAAAAATCGAGTCGAATGATATATATTTCAAACTTTTTCGTTGATTTTCATTTTGTTGATGAAAATCTCAGTTTCTTCGACGCGAAAATTCAAAAAAAATAATAGTAATCGAATAGGATAAAAAAGTACATCATTCGACTCGATTTTTAGCGCTGATTCCGAATACGATGTTTTCATTGCGTGAAAGTTGAGTTCTGATGAAGGAAATTGCGAATTAGGGACAGAATTTCGATTTTTGCTAGTAACAGCCGTTTTTCTGATCGAAGAAAAATGATTTTAAAAATAGCTCTTCATAACTCTGTAGCTCGTTGTCTGGGCTATCGAATGATGTATGAACCAGAAACCTAGTCTCTAACCTGAAGTCCAGGCTTCAATTTCTTGCAGAGGGTCTGCATTTTCTACCATAATATATTCTGGGCCTTGCCGAAGTTTTGCATTAAGGTTTACAGATTGAAACTAATTTGGCTAGACTCAGTTTTCCACGAAGAATTGAAAAGTGATAAGTTCAGGTCACTAAACCCATCTGGGAAAAAACTGCGAAGGAATTTCCAAAAACAAAAAATGTTGACATTTTTAAGGGTCTTTCAGTATTTTGGGATTTTGATCCCGAAGAAAAGGTTTTGGGAGGCCAGGAAGGTGATATTCGTGATCACCTCAATCTAACGAATCAGAATATATATAATACATCTAAAAATGAAATTCACTACTTCTTTGCATTACGTGCAGCTTTCATAAATAACTTTGTATCTCAGTTTTACAGTTAACCGTTCTGATTGTGTTTCTGTCACCTAGTGAATGGATCATTCTTATCCACTATCATACTTAATCAACACCCACCTGCTTATGAATACGTACCTAAAGCAATTAATGGGCTGATATTTACAGATCGAGATAATGAACGTTTTAATAGTAAAACAATTATCAATGTATTTCCAATAAGACCGACTATTGATATAATAAAAATGTATGGTGTTGATATCGTTAATAATATTGTTTGAAAATTTGTAAATACACTATGAATATTGACGGTATCATAACTATTATTTTCTGTAGATAAATTCATTGTTAAATACTTTTTTCACTTCTTCCAAGAGTATCTAAAAATATACACGTAAGTAAAATTTTGAACAGGATCCTATTATACTTCTTTCATATTTGTTTCTAATGTTGATTGGAATATGCATGCTTTTACTGCACAATTTATCTATTTCCTTTCTAATTATACCTTATCAAGCATTCGGTTAAAATAAATTATCATCCAAGAGGAGAAGAGCATCACAATGGGCTTTATTTTGTTAAATAATGTTAAATTATTACTATAAGAACGGTAGATGAGAAACAAGTGTTTTATTATTTTTTTTTGGTATGTTTACTGATAATCAATAAAAAGAAAAATTCTCTTCTAAAAAAAGAAAAAAAAAAAACTATTTCTTGTGGTGCATAAATCAGAAATAAAATAGACTTTATGAACTGTATATTAAGTTTCGTAATACTAAATCAGATATTATTACTATAGCTATGATAAAAAACTCTTGTAATTTAAGAATTAAATTTTTTCTAAATTATACAGAGGAAACTCTTCAATGTCAATTGTTAGAGTAAGAAAAGACAGAAGTGTTCCGTATCACGATGGCTCGCTTATTAACAATAGAGAAAAGTACTTAAAAGAATACTTGCTATAGTACCAATACACAGGGGGCATTTTTCCATAGAGCAGGCGGACATCTGGTTTTTTTCGTTAAAAAATGATTATTTTAGCATAATATGGTCTTACTATGTGCCAGATATTAGTAGAAGTAAAAAAACGTCGAATTCAGAAAAAAACTTTTTTCGACAAAAAATTCCCTAGGAGGACGCTTACCCTGAATTTTGTCAAAAATGTTTTATTTGTACAACTAACAACTTATATATCATTCGATGCAGTTTTTTCACACCGATTCCGAATATGTATAGATTGTTTGGATAAAAGCCTTTTTTTAATGAGAAAGAAGTATTTTATCTGGAAAACCGAGAGTTTTTTGAAAATCTCCCTGTAGGGAGGGCTAGATACATTTCCGCTTGTACCACAGATTCAGGAACATGAGATGAGTATTTTAACTTCTTTTTGAACTCGACTAGTGCTTGGCTAGCTTTGGCGCGCTCATTTTACTGTAGAAAGCTTTTTTAAGTGCGACTCTTTACAGAAAAAAATGCTCGTGTAACCTCAAATTTTGACTTTTTCAAAAAAACATTTTTACCGAAGGATAGCCTGATGTTTGCTGATTCTGAATATGTACTTACATTTGAGTAGAAGTTAAATTGAGCATGAGAAAATCGAGCGTTTCCGAGATTACTCTAATTTTAGCCATATTTTTCTATCTAACTTTACTTCATAAAGAAAACACTTAGGATGAAAACTTTTTCGTCATTGAATTCACCATCGTTCATAGTATATATATATTATATAATGCTATTAAAATGAGAGAAAAGTGAACTTACGTTTTTTTGGCCAAATTTCCGCCTAGAAGCCCACTGTGCAATAAAAAGACATTTCAATTACACATAGATATAGAGAGTAAATCTCAATTTTATCTGTAGAAAAAGTTAATCATAGGTTTTTCAACCTTAGGTAGTAATTTCTACTTCTCTAAATCGACATTAATGTAATCGTCCCGTTAGTATTTTGTTCATACATAATATTCTGTTAATCATATAAACACGGATACAGGGCATTCAAGTTGAACAATAATACATAACAATAATTTACTTCTGTTTTTCATTTAGAAAATTTATACTATAAGCTAAGTAGTACAACTTTTATTATTACGCTTGACCTGTTGTTAAAATATTCTCTTGTATCCTTTTACACTTAAAAAAATAAGTTTTTTTCTACCTTGAAATACTTTATATTATTTTTACTGATTAAAACTTTTAATTGATATTCTAGAAGACAAGTACTTTAATCGTCTTTGAATAAATATGTTGAAAATTAAAAATATTTTTGAATCTTAACTATCAAAAAACAATATTCTAAAAGATTTTTTGTATAATCTACTTCCTAAAAGCAGTCATTATTGGATATAGACCAAACAAATTTTAAACTTTTTTTAGATTTTATTAATTTACTAACTGATATTTCAGTTCTCATGGAGGCATTATCGAGAAAAATAAAAATTCTTTTACAATTGAACATTTAATTATACTATTATAGTCTACTGTATTTATATCAGACTAATCATAACAGAAAATGAAGGTCACTGAGTTTACAGCAGGTAAATGATTGAATTTCCTTTCTAAGAATTTATTTGTCGATGTTTCGACGACTTAATCGTCATTATCAAGACGTGATTACAAATTAATTTTCTTTTTGTGAAATTTAATTTGTAATCACGTTTTGATAATGACGACTAAGTCGTCGAAACATCGACAAATAAATTCTTAGAAAGGAAATTCAATCATTTAGTTGCTGTTAAATCAGTTATCTTCATTCTATGTTTATTACTCATCAACAAAAAGAATTATAAAAAAAAAAGAAAATACAAGAACGAACATTCTGAAAAAACATAGATGACGAGTAAAAAGATACTGTTAATCTCTTTCTTTTCCTTTTTCACTTTGTACTCGATCAACGAGATCAAATTTCCTTGTTTGAGAAAATCTATCTGGAAAAACGATTAAAGGAATCCAATCTAACAGAATTGTTGAGGCTGAAAGTATGTTTGGCGATGAAAAGAGACTCTATAACTAATAATTGCTATTCTAGTAAATCAATTGATCGCTATCTCTCCATAAATCTAATCATAGATAAAATCTATCGAATAATGGCTGCTGTTAAAAAGGCAAAAAAATTTTTTTACGACATTTATTTGACTCCAGAGCTGAGCAAGTCATGGGGTTTCCAAGTCAGTCAACAAGAATATTCTCAAGTCAAGTTATGAGTCATAAAATTTTCTCTCAGATCAAGTCAAGTCTCGGATTTTCCCAAGTCATGACTTGAAATTGTTTTTCGCTGAAAAATGCTCAAAGTTTAGTAGATTTCGTCTCATTCTCTACTCTAAGACACGACTGGTGGCGTCTTGAGTACTCTCCTACTGTGTTGATAAAAAATGGATTTTTCTGTGATTTTGTCTTCATAATTGCTTTTTCAAAATGTCCAAAATCACTTATAAAGTTATAGTTTTTCGATGGAAGAGCACTTTTATCTAATACTGAATTAAAATTCCCGATCTAATCATGTATTTTACCCTGAAATTCTCCAAAAAACCTGATTTTCTTAGTTGATGACTTAGCTTGATTTTTCTGACGAAGTCACAAGTGAAGTCGAATCATGAGTCATAAAAAAATTTACCAAGTCAAGCCACCATGACTTCATTTAAGTCATTTTTAACTTGACTTATCCAATTCTGGTTGGCTCTCTTACGTTCAAAAGATTTATTACTTCACTTGATAATTAATTATTAATTTTATTTTCACATGAATAAGTACGGAAATAGGCCAGTGGAAATTAAAAAAGAAATGTGCATCAATATTGTGCATATTTTAGATCCTTCCGTGTCATCAATAGTTTATCAAATGTGTAACAAATGTCAGAATGGAGTATAATTATAGAAGTCAACCACTACTAAACACGATTTTTCTTTCAAGAATATCATCCATTCATAACGAGGATTAATCTACTCTTCTAATTCTATTGACAGTTTTTTCGAAATTGCATTTGAACACGATGGAGTTTGTGTTAAGTAAAAGTTTTCGACATTTGTCAAAATCAACGTGTAAAACCGAGCTTGTCTTGGACTTACCAAAAAACATTTCTGTTAGATGTGGCCTTCGAAATAATCGGACTTGCCCATCTTTGAAACTAATCTAAGTGAAAAAGCAACATACTCAAAATTAATAGAATGTAGTGTTTTGATCTAGTTTGAACACTATGTAAAAAAAACTCTCGATGTTTTCCAGAAATTTACTGCAAGTGTAGATAGAAATTATAATACTAAATCAAATTTCTTTTCAGCTACAAATCAATTTTCGCATTCGTTCTTGATTCGTTTATACGTCTCATCATCTCTAAGCAACGCACGAGAGATGTGCTAAGTTTTTGATAATATGACATTTTTTCATATAATTTTAACTTTTTTCTACTTTCAAATAGTTTTTTCATTACACCAACACGAATCAGCTCGTAAAACTATCGAATCATGTATAACACAAGTATTTTTTAAAGAAAAAAGTTTCTCTGAAAGTCCTGACTGCGGTCGTTCCATCAAGAATGGAGTTCCATACGAGAACCGCGGCCACACATGCTCAACGATCCTCTCAGATTTGTTCCAAACTACACTGTAATTTGGAATTATTTTCTATTTTATAGAAAATCGATCTGGAAAATCGCCAAGGATTTTCCAATTTTTATAAAACCCTTAACGATTTTCTGACTGTTTAGAAAATGTTGATTTTCTACTTTATAGAAAATCCGCTCAATTTTCTATAAATTGACTTTTCTCATTTGCCAGAAAATCGATAAGGAATTTCTAAAAAGTTGGAAAATCGACAGCGATTTTCTAACTTTTAGAAAATCGATTGATTTTCTATAAATAATTTCCAACATTCCTGAAATTTGACAGCGATTTTCTAAATAGTTTGAAAATGGAATTCGATTTTCTAAGCTCGCTTTAGTATTTAACACCGGAAATGTTAAGTTTTTTGCAAATCAGCATATTCTTCGAGAAGTATTGTTGCTGTATGACACTTGAAGACCGCAGAGGTTCTTTGGCTGCCTGGTTAAGACAAAGTCGAGTTTTACCGCAACTTTCTGAAGATCACAAAGCGATTCGCTCTTGTTGATATTCCTCATTTTTATGTCTGAATTTAGCATCTTCCAAAAATGTAGTTGGTTCTATTAACTCAAAGATATGCTCCTAACAATTCATATTTATTTTGTTATTTTTTAAATAAAATAACAACACGTGAGCGATGTCGAATTTGGTTTTCATTAGTAAAACATCCATATTGCCATAAGCTAAAATAATACATCCCACTCAACTTCGAAGTCCAATAGCTTTAAATAATAGTAAAAAAGTTTATCTTCAATCATTTTCACTTTGCAAGTCTTTAATTATCAGCATTCTCACTCAAATTGTTCTTCCTCATCATCTATAAAATCCCTGAGGATTTTCTATAAATAATTCCCAACAATGTAGATTTTCCGATGTCGATTTTCCACATTATTGGAAATTCGATTTTCTATAATCTGGAAAATCCGTGAGGATTTTATATATGGACTTTTTGAAAATCGTCGAGCATTTTCTATAAATAATTCCCGACTTTACAGTTTAGTCTTATTTTGTAGCTCGTAGTGAGTTATCCAAGGCGTGTAACTTAAATAATGTCGATCTCGATATTTTTGCTCTAACTCCTGTTCTTCAGGATCCTCAGAGGTTATGCTTTTTAATAGAACCATCGTAAAATTCTCTACAAAATCATATCTAAACTTTAATTTCAGAATTTCAATTAAGAAAACTAAGCAAATGATACGAAAGGCGAAAAAATGAAAACTTTGTAAATCTGGTATTTTTTTTCGAACTTTTTCTTCTGCCATTATTTCCGTAAAAACGTATAGAAAAGGATGTATAAAAGTGCATAAACTGAAACATCGAAGAACACATGGGCAAAGTTCGAATCGTTAGTATGCGAGGACAAAGGAGGAATCTCATTATACTAAACCAGTGCTTTCTAGA